ATGAAATAATCTCACAGTAAAACAAGTACTTTTACATCAGTAGGAATTATTGACTTAAAACAAGCTCATACATCTTGCTGAAAAGTTAGTTGGAAGTTAGTTTTGTGTAATTTCAAGACAATTGCACTAGAAGCTAAACAAAAATACTTGGTAAGATTTTGTGTTTTTGCAGTGTAGAGGGTGTGAGATAATGGCCCTTCCAAACTACAGTTATCCAGGTAAACCTTAAAAGCAGAGTTTGGTTTTAGCATGAATGCCACCCAGAGAGAGCACTCCTTATCTACTTTTTATGATTTCACAAATAGTATAAAGATTTCATAAATTTTAAAATCAGGATAAAATACCCGTTTAGGTTTGCCAGTGTAGGTATGCCTGATTTTGAACTAGAGCGGTTCAAATCCAGGTTTATTAACTATATATCTGCTATGTAAAGCCATATTTTTATGGTGTTTTGTTTCAAGTACATATTCCACCCCCTGACGTAATGGTGTCCTGAGTTGTGAGCCATAGCAGCAAGACAGACAGTTTCCAGCAGGGAATCTGAGTAACTCAGGACAGAGATAGATGAAAAGTCGGCCATATTGGAACCCAATCCGTTGTCATTCATTGACAGACCAAAGACCAGCAGGTTTCTCAGTCCAGGCACCATGAGAGCTTTAAATGTCCGTTCTGGGTGAAGACTCGTTCTTACCGTCCACCGTCTTCTGATCAAATTTTGATTTATCGTTTACAAGATAAATCTGAAATAATGATGTGTTAAAAACCTTTAAAGCTTCCCGTATTGTCAGGATTATTTTTGCTATTTTTCTCCACTGTAATAAATATCAATAAATATGATTAAATGCAGTTACTGTGAGCACTTTAGTGACATAAATCACACTTCTCAATGTGATTGGTTTCCTAAGGAAGTATATTAAAAATAGAGCAGTATTTGTGTTTGCGAGGCAACAATTGCTCTGTCATACAGTTACCTAAAAAAGAAGCAACAGTTCTTATCGTGACTTTCATCGTTATCACAATACTACCACAAAATATCGTGATAAAACTTTAAGTCCACCCTAACAAACAGGGGAAAGGTGTTTGCCAGATTATGGTTTGATATATGAACAGATGGAAGGTCAAGCATGTTGTAAGAACAGTTCTCTGTCAGATAATGAAAGACGTAAAGTTTGTATCTTTCCCTCGTAAAAAAAAACCCCAGTGAGAGACTGGAAGGCTTTAGAAAACCAGAGATCAATTCAGGTTCCCTCCATCAACATGAAATTACTTTTTTCTCTCTCTAGAAAGCAAAGTGTGAGCATCGTGTCTGAACTCTGCCACATGTGGCAGATTCACGAACCTCACTAAACCGTCCAGTCAAAAGCAGCACTGGCCAGTGTGTGCAAAAAGACAAACTATAGCATCTTCTTCAGGCTTATCTTTATCTAACTGCACAGCTAGCCACAGAGATATTTTATGTAGAATGCACCAGCTTATATCAGAGAGCACACGGCTGTGTGATGTAGCCGAAGCACTCTATAGTAAGCTAGCCCCACATTTTATGTAATAAAAACTGACCGAGTGTAGTGTAAACTCTGCCTCTCCGCATCACAGCCCACGCTACCGTACAGCTAGTGTATCTGGCATGCATGTATTAGCAAACCAGTGCACTCTTTCTGTTCACACATACACCACTTCCTCTCGATGATCCCCATCTAAAGAGTGGTGACAGCAAACAGTGGAGGCACTTATGTGGGTTAGGACATGACGGCCTGCCTTATTTTCAGCTGCTGCGCTAAGACACGACTACATTTAATGTATTAGTTGCAGTGATGCAGAGCTACTTAGAGCGAGAGCTACGTATTGGACATTTCCTTCTTTAGATGCAATGAATCGATCTTCCGTTCCAGTGCTGGGCCATCAGTCCATACAGTGGGCTTAAAATAGAACAGGGACGTAGAGCTGGAGGAGCGCCTCACTAAGGTGGGTCGTTCTAGCTTTCTATCTGCTCATCTGTGCATGCAGCTTGTATGCAGACTGTGCAGAAACACTGAGCTTCAACTTGATGGATTTTCTAATCCTGCAGGAGACGGTGGTTTGGCTGCAACTCTGCACATCAACTGTAAACCCTCAGTCTTCCCTACATGCATTTCTTTTTTTTTTGTAGTGTAAAAAGAAAATCAGATTCCACTGGTACCTTTGAACTGCTGCTGAAGGCCGACTGATTCTGTAACAGCCTGTGAGATGTCTGTTGCAACAGCATTGGCCTACATACGGTGCATAAGGCTGGGAAAGGCTCAGCCGCACCCCAGAGCTGAGAACAGCAGCTGTTGAGATGGATGCTGCACAGATAAAACCCAGCAGAGGGAAGATTCTACTTTTACTGTTCTTCGCTTAGCCACAGCATCCAAGGCTGAGAAATATGTCAGGTATTGCTCAGTTACTTGCTGCCTGACTCAGGCACAAACTCTGCATGTAGAAGTGCAGGTTAGAAAATTTGCTCCTCTTTTGAAATGTGTGGAGTAGTTACAGAGCGTCAGCCTCTGCTCTGTTTCCCAGCAGTCACTGGGAGTACATGAGGACCTGATTTTATCCTTCTGCCCCATGCACGGTTCCTCCTGCGCAGAGCTCCAGCCTATAAGAGCCTGTGAGTCAGTGAGTTCTGTGTGGAGTTTCCAGCAGGACGCACACTCACACACACGCACACAAACACACACACGCGTGGAAAGATTCAGTGTGGAAGTCCTAATGAAACATTCAGTTCAGAGAGATCTGAGGTGCTGGACTTCTCCAAAAATGACATTAACACACACACACACTAATTTTTTTCCTCTTTTCCCTCCCTTACTTTAACATGGCCTCATCCTTGGCTTCCTCCGCCCGCTGCCGAGCCAGCACAGACATGATGATGTCCCTCTCCTCCGCCGTCAGATGGCTGAGGTCCGGCTCCGGGATGGCCGGAGCGGCGGGTGGGCGCGGGCCGCCCCGAGGGCCCACCGAGGCGAACATCTTCCCTGCCACCACCACCACCTTTCTTCACTCCCGGCTCCTCTTCCTTCTCCTCCTTCCTCTCCTCCCTCCTGTCGGATCACGGATGAAAAACCCGCTGGAGGAGCCCACGGATCACGACATGGCCCACTGATGGAGCGGCGGTCGGAGCGGCTGATGCGGAGTTCCCATGGCGGTGGCGGGGGCGCCCGGGGTGGTGTTAGCTGCGGTGACTGTGGCCTTAGCGCTTCGGTTCCCGTTGCCGTTTTCAGCCTCTCCTCCCTCTTGCTGCTCCGCTGCCTTCTCCCCCCACCCCCTCCCACCGCCCACCCGCCCGCCTCTCCCCTCCACCACCTCCGTTTTACGGTGAGCCCATATCTCCGGCGGTCAGTCGGGACGCTGGCACACGGGAAAGAGGACCTCGTTTCCGTCCTTGTGCCCAGGCAGAGGGGGAGGAGGGCTCCCTGAAGACGGCTCTCTCTGGTCGGCGCGCTCGGTTGGCTCCTGTGGCTGAGGGGCGAGGCGGTAACTTCTTGTTTTCCAGCTCCGCCGCCGCCACCGCTGCTGCTGATGCTGATGCTGCTGTCAGGGAGACGGAACCGTCAATGGGACCGCAGCCCCTCAAGCGCGCTCACTTACCGTGCCGCGGGAGCGAGCAGCCTTCATTTGAGAATGGGGGCTCCACTCACCGTCATGATGCGCGCTCTCGGCGGTCCTTAGCGCACACACACAGGAAATACGTGGTTCCTCAAGGATGCACTGTGGCTTTACGAGACCACATGATGACGATCATATCGTAAATTACATAAATTAGCATTATTGTTTCTATATTAAGCAATATATGCGTATTAAAAAAATCAGCTTTTAACCACGAATTCAGATTAAATCTCTAAAATAAGCATTGCTGTTATTATTTACTAAGCAAAGACAAAGGAAAAAAGGAAGAGTTACAGAAATATCCACTCTTGCAAAAGTCATATTCAATAAAACAGAATGTTGAAAAAGTTCAAAAAGCATCAGGATAACACAATAACAAATTTTGCTGGTCTATTAATTGTCCCAGAAATTATTGCGATAAACGATATTGTTGTTATTTTGAGACCATCTTCAAGTAATATGATGGTAATGGCATAATAATTCAAGAACGCATTCTCAAAGAATTAAATAAAATTTTAATTCTATTGAAGATTTGACTCTGGGACTGGAAAACATTTTAAATATTAAAAATAAGATAAATAAACAAAACAATAAATAAAATGATTTATGAAGTTTCTGTTAACAAAATCTTTGAAAAAGGGCTAGCTTTTCCAAATCATCAGACTGAAGACTTTTGTTATCCAGCTTTTGGTAGAAAGAGAGAGAGAAAAAAAGAAAAATGATAAATCATGCAAATTAAAATTAAGCTAATTTTATTTTACTATGTGATTAATTGATTTGTTGCTTAATGCAACATGCCTATTATTTACACACATTAATTTTGTTATTTATGATGATATTTCCTTTTACAGCTAATACAAACAATAACTTTAACATATATAATATGACATCAGAACAGAAACTAAACATTTTTAAGCGTAAATAAGGGTTTAATGTAAATGATGTTATTTTCAAAAGATACTTAATCTGACATATGAGCCTCATTGGACCACATATTCTACTTTGTTGATCATGACTGTACCTCTCAAACTTATTTCAACTTTGTTTGTTTGTTTTTTTACTTATTTGTTTATTTGTCATCTTAACATGTTGCAACCACAAACCTTTGTGTATTTTTTTATAACTTAATGTCATAGACCAACACAAAGTGGAGTGTGGTTGAATCTGAGTCAATGTTTTCTTCTGGGATTCTTCCTCTTTGTTTATCCATTTATCTTCTCTTCCACTCTGACCAGCTTTCCTATTTGCTGAAGAAGCATTTCCCAAAGCATGATGCTGCCACTGCAGTTTTTTTTAACTATGTGCACCAGGTGATGTGTTAGATTACCATTACACATAGTGTTTTGCTTCTGATCTAAAAGAAGAAGAAAAAAATATATAAAAAATAAATAAATAATAATAATAATAATAATAATTTAGTTTTATCTGACAAAAGGCACTTTCCAGTTTCTTAATGCATGGCTGCAATTATCTGAATAAACCACAACATATGAGACTGTCAGAAAGACATTTGGCTATAATAAGTTGTTTTCGCTTGGAGGAAACAAAAACAAGTTTGTTAAATAATAGTAGAAAGTATTGTACATTATTACTGATAAAGGTGATTCAGCAAGCTAACTAAGCAAAGATAGAAAGTTATAAACTATAACATGATACTTTAGGAAAATAATACATTTAAGTGGAAATTTTTACCTTGTAGAATTGTATAAATCTAGAAATTGTATAATCTTTTCTTTCTTGTTTCATAATCCGCTGAGAAACTATTCTGGAGAGAGCCTGAGGTTTCCTATATAACCACACCATACAGCCATATGACATTTACAGTATGTCACTGAACAATATTATAATTATAGCCCATGATGGGACTGCTCAGTGGTTAGCAGTGGTCAAGTGAGTGTAAACTAAAACATGTAGGCGTGCAGATGCTTCCACAAACCAGGAGATGGAGGCTGAATTTATCAGCAAGAGATTTTAGAACCAAATCTGGCCAATACTTTAAATACTGACCCCATTATTTATATTTTAAATTTTATGAGCTTGCTTTTAAGAGTCTTGGAGCGACTGCTAAAATTACTGGTCACATGACTGGGCAATGCTGTAAATTAAAAGTACAACCTGAAATCTGCCTAATTCAGCACCACGGTCAGCTTATGGTGCAGCTGAAGGGATCCTCCAAAATCCAGCTTTCTATCTGCATTTATCTACAGAATATTTTAAGTATTTTTATTGCTTTAAGTTTGCGTTGAGTGACTGAAAACAGAAAATAAAGCCATTCATAAAAATAAATATTAATAAAGATGAGTTCTGTTGCAAAAATAAATCAATTGCAATTGTAAGGCTAATTTCATGTAACAAATAAACAATACTGGTAAATACCTAACTTTTTTTGTTATTGATCAAGAATACCTTTAATTATTTAACAGTCAAATATATTTGTGCTGACATGTAATTCATTAGCTTTAATTAAATTAAGGCTAACATTTAGAGAAAACCATGTCTATATTTAGCTTGTCCAAATAGAGACATGAAGATCCCTATGAAAGGCTGACCCAAAACAATACATATTCTAATTTGTTGATTTCTTCTTGGCAAGTTTGGCTCTGAAGAAAACAAATATGCTTGGAAATCAGATTTTATTCTATTTTATGTTAATCTAAACCACAAAACTTACTCAAGCTTCAGAAATGTATCAACAAAACGCTCTTTACCTGTTACAACTCAACTGACTTTCTCAAAATCACGTCTATTCTTCACTTGCTAAGCTAATTCTGTCAGTTAACAAAATAAAAGCTGCGTCAGATGCAAAGGGCTTTTATTTTGAACGGCTCGTTGTGGAGTTCCGGATGTACTGTTGCTAGCTTCTAGCTTCCCCTCTAGTCACTGGGATATTCTGGTAAGAAAAGATATATATTATTCCGTTTGTGTTCGTGATATTTAAAGGTTGTGTTGGTGTAGATGTGAACATTTGGTGAGTTACAGCTATTGCGTCGCTCTTCCTGCATTCAGAGAGCTAATAAGGAATTAGGTCAGTCTTTAGAGTAAGGTTTCATTGGAGACAGCATGTAAGCCTTGCACTGCTTGCTGTTTTTTTTTCTCTGTGCTTTATTTTTATTTATGCATTTTTATTTTTTTTACTGGGTAACTGTTCATTGTTTTTACCTGAATAATTGCTTTAAAGTTAAAAAAAATCATTTGTTCTTAATTTGCATTTATGTGCGGAAGTGTGGTTTACGAAGGGTTTATTGAATGCAAAGGCTTGTTTTGGCACAGCTAGTAGTATAACTGGTGTTACCACTGTTACAAAAACACGACTTTTTCATCTTTGAAATTTACTAGTCTGTACAGGTGAATCTCTATATTAAAGTAATACAAATGTAATTCAAAAAGGAAAACTAATACATAGATTTATATGGAGGACCGACCCTGCCAAAATTAGCAACAAAAAAAGCAAAAATGAAATAAATTATTTGATCAGAACTTTCCCGTTTTATGTGATTATACAGCAACATAAAATGTATGTATATCATTTTCAACAGTATTAGTTTAACATGTTACTTTTTTATTTTATTTTAAATCTGTCAAATGTAGTTTTATTAGATTTGCTTTTTTAATTTATTTTTTTGTTTTTTTTTTCTAATTTTTCCATATTCTCATGTGACTTTTATGTCACATGAGAATATGTGACATAAAAGTCACATATTCTATTACGTTTTTGCCTCCTGTTTTCTCATTTTTCTGATAATTTACAGATTTATTTCTATTTTCTTTGTGTTCTCTTTTGTTTTTTTTTTGTTTTTTTTCTTCTGACTCTAGATGTAAAATAACAGTAGGGGACGGAGGCTGTGGGGGTTCCTGATGGGAATTCAGAGCTAGCATCTCTCCTATTGGTCAACATAAAGAAATTCCAGCTAACTATTGTGAGAAACACAAAACGTTTAGCCCAAGTCATTCAGTTCAAAGCTAATGCTAATTGTATGTAAACACCTAATTTTGAAATAAATCTGATATGTTCTCTCTCTCATTATTGTGGCATTTAGCAATAATAATAATTTTGCTAATTCCAACTGATCTAAAACAAGGGCAATTTGCACTGATTCAACTTTAGACGGAGAGAAAAAACGGAGTACGTGTGGTTTGTTCAGTGTAAATCTGAATAACAGATTTAAGAGTTATTTTTCCAGGGGACTGCCATGTTGCCAGTTGTGGTGGTCCATGGGGGGGCGGGTCACATCCCCAAAGAGCGCTCGGACCTGTCCACCTCAGGAGTGTGCTCTGCAGTGAGGTCAGCGTATGCAGTCCTGCAGGGAGGGGGCAGCAGTATGGATGCTGTGGTGGAGGCTGCTATGCTACTGGAGAATAATCCATCTTTCAATGCAGGTATTGTAAAAATGAGATGGCCACCTAAAACTAGCTCCTGCTGTGCAGGATTTTTTTTAAATATATCTATGCAGCAAAAAGCTGTGCAGTTGACACTTTCAGCTTTGGATATTGTGGTGAGAATTCTCATTGTTTGTAGATTATTAGAGCTAAGATCAAGTTTAAATTACGACTTATTTTCTTACTTTCTGCTGCTAAGAATATTAAAGCTTAAAAAAGCAGAATGGTTCATTATTAAAAATATCAAGGCGAGAGATTCTAGTGATGGTATGGATTGTAGAGTCTTGTTTCCACTAGTACAGAGCTAGCTTAAGCTTAGCATCAGACTAGTGTGTGTATCTGTATGCCCAGATTAAATTGAGTTCTTCCGACTTTGCTTCTAACAACACTGCATTGAAGTAAAATTGGGATCAAAATTTCCTCCATGAGCAAAAATGAGGAATTGTTTTGCCAGCAACAAAAAATTTCTGATGCTTATTGCAGTTTTTCCAGCATGAAGGGATACCATCTGACAAGCTTAAAGTGGTAAAGAAATGTCTTCAAGATCAAAAAGCAAACTAAAATCTGGAAGCCTAAAAACAAAAAAACTGGTGTCCTGTCCTAAGCTTGTGACGTTTTCCATCGGATTTGTCCACAAACTCAGTCATTTCTCATATATTTTTTAAGGATGTGGCTCAGTGCTGAACCTGAAGGGGGAGGTGGAGATGGATGCCCTCGTGATGGATGGGAAAACGCTGAGCAGCGGCGCCGTGTCTGCCATCCGCAACATAGCTAACCCAGTCCAGCTGGCCAGACTTGTCATGGACAAGGTGTTTATTTTAAATAGACATTTTAAAACCGTTCAAAGTGATTCTGCATCTCATTTTGAAAAGAAAAAGAAAGAAGGCAGCAGTGTAGCTGCAGAAATGTTTGGACTGTCCTGAAAGTGTTCACTGTGAATGTATGTCACCGACGCGACCTTTGATCCCTCCTTCAGACCAGCCATGCCTGTCTAACGGCGGAGGGTGCCAGTCAGTTTGCTCGCTCTATGGGCGTTCCCGAGGTTCCTCAGGAGTCCCTCATCACGGAGTATTCCCGCATGCGCTGGAAAAAAAACCTGGCCCCAGACGCCAACCCTGTGGAGTGCCAAATGTAAAACTAAATACTGGATTTCATTAAAGATTCACTGCAAAAACAAAATCTTACCAAATAGTTTCGGTCTCGTTTCTAGTTTAAATATCTTAGTGCACTTGAAATAAGACGAAACTAACTTAAAAGTACCTTTTTGGCAAATTATAGAGGCTTGATCTTAAGTACATGATTTCTTAATTTTAATGAAGAAGTACTTGTTACATTGGCAGATTATTTCACGTGTAACAAGATATTTTCCCCTTGTCTATAAGTTAATTTATCTGCCAATGGAACAAGTATTTTTTCAGCAATATTAAGGAAGTATTTACTTTAAACAAGCCTCTATGTTTTGCTGGAAAGGTGCTTTTAAGTTAAGTGTGTCTTTCTTCAAGTTTACTAAGATATTTACACCAGAAAGTAGACCAGAAATACTTGGTAAGATTTTGTGTTTTTGCAGTGTAGTAGTATTTGAGATAACTGATGTTGTCTTTTTGTTTATATTTAGCGAAACTCACAAATAGTCACCCAACTAAAATAAGGAACAGATCTTTTTTTTAACATTATTTTTATTTACTTTTTTGGTTGTAGGAACCATCCATACATTTCTTATGCTTTTAATAGTAGAAATATGAGGCACACTCACAAAGTGATTGTTTTGCCTAAGACATCTCTTTGGATGAGGTGCAGAAAATCAGTTGTGCTTTTATTGTAGGAACATTGCTTTTCTCCACATTTTTTAGCACTTCCTAACCTGCTGCTCATAATCTTTGCTATCATGACTATAATGGTGATTAATGAATAGTAGCACTAATATCGAAGTTGGAGCAGATTGTACTCCATGACAAATGTCTCTTTACACTTCATTTTAAGAATCTACACTAAAAAAAGACAAAATGTTGCTTAACTTTTATATAGAAAGCTTTTGTCCATATTTGATGTTAATCTAAAGAAATCTCTGCTGACCTGTTTCCTCATTTAGGGGGAAGATGGGGACGGTTGGAGCGGTGGCAGTCGACACCGACGGCAACGTAGCGTGTGCGACTTCCACCGGAGGAATGCTGAACAAGATGGAAGGCCGAGTGGGCGACACCCCGTGCATCGGTCAGTCCTCACACCTGCAGCTGATGATGAGGCGACCCGGTTTTGGCCAAGCTTCAGCTGTGAGGCAGATGCACAAACATTCGACTCCAGAATACTTTGAGGAGTTAATGGTTCGCTTCATTAATGCAGAGTTCTGTAGATGCAAAACCTCATATCATTGGCACCTTGGAGAGGTTATGGAGTATGGATGGATGATAGTTGGCATTTGGAGAGAGAACGTTAAGCAATAACTAAATGCATCTTTCGTTCTTGCACTTGTAAAACAATAAATGAAGTCAGCTCAGAAGTTTTTATAGCCGAGTGTTCCTCTTTCTCAAGACTGTTAAACTTTAACCAGCAGATCTGGACTATAGGATAAGTAAACAAAGCAGAGTCACAGTTCAGCTGATTGTTCTTTGGTTTAAAACAAATAACATGTTCTGTAACCTCACACTTATACAAAAAGACACCCCATTTTTCATTTCCCAAACATAATTACACATTACACTTTTCATTATGTTAGAAGCAAACGGCTCCAACAGTTCAATAGACGTTTGCCTAAACAAAGAGTAAATATGAGCCTTAAACATGCGTCCGTGTTGTTGTGATGTTTGCTTCAGGCAGTGGAGGCTATGCTGACAATATGTCAGGAGCCGTGTCGACTACGGGCCACGGAGAGGCCATCATGAAGGTCACGCTGGCGAGACACATCCTGTTCCACATGGAGCAAGGTAACGCTGACACAGGGAGCCTGTTCAAATACATCCGTTCTGAATGGATGGACTGGGATTTGTGCACTGTGAAAAATGCAATAATCAATCAATCAATGTTAGCAGACTTCATGTCTAAAGTTAGATTAAAAACACAAACATGCAAACCAAAATAAGGAATATAAAAACATCTTTAAGATATAAAAACATAAAATTAAACATGTTTTAAAGGATAGAAATACCAACATCTGAGTGGCTCTTCCTCCTCTTAGCATACAATGCTTCTCATCACATCATTGAATACAACAAGCAGCTTCTTCATGTTATGTTACTTGTAAGATGCCCAGAAGGGGGCAGTATGTAGCAGTGTGCAATAAACTATAAAGCTGCAGAATGTAACTTTTATTAAAAATGTTTTTCTACGCATTTGTTAAAATTGTCGCTATGTTTCAACAGTATAATATGAGACAAAATGTGGGAAAATTCTCCCAGAAGCAGCCAATCAGATACAAGAGGAGGGTCTCAGCGCTGTCAATCCACCTTGTGTATGTGCTGCTAAGAGGAAGCCTTCCTGTTCCACTAAAACAAAAACCAGACTAGAGAAAACTAAGTGTGCGTTAAGCTCTGACTGGTGGAAGCGAACCACAGGATTGTCATGTTTTATGAATCGCTCTGTTCTCCTCTCTGCCCAGGCCAGTCAGCTGAAGCTGCCAGTGATCTGGGCCTGGCCCACATGAAGTCCAGAGTCGGGGGACTTGGAGGGGTCGTGACCGTGGACCCTCAGGGCAACTGGGCCGCTCGCTTCTCCAGCCGCCAAATGGCGTGGGCCGCGGCGCAGAAAGGCACGCTGCACTACGGTCTGTACACGGGAGAACACTTCACCAAAATCATCGAGGATGCACACTGACACCTGCCCCAGCTTGTGTCAGTAGAGCTAAAAAGTAAGATAATACAGCTGAGGGTGGGCTTCAGTTCACCAAATAATGATTGATTTGGTTTAATGTTGATGTTTAAAATCAAATAGAAGACAACAAGAGCAACAAAGCTACTTAGTTTAGTCCCAAAAACCAATCAACTGTGAGCCAATCCAAAGGAAAACAGGAAATTTCCAGAAACACTAATGACACTCAAGTGATTCTTTGTATTAGTCATTTGAAAAGTCATTTCAGAGTTTCTGCAAATTGATCAAATTCACGTTAGGTACATAACTCGCTGCTCAGTTTTTAAGTTTCTTAGGAAAACCTTCAGGTTTTACAATCATTTGTTAATTTTTATTACAAACTACTGGCCAGTTTTATAATGATCTGCACAAAGTGTGTTTTTCTGTCGCTGTTCACATCACTACTGATGAAGTGCTGCTCATCATTTGCTGAATGTTGGTGAAGAAAATCCAAACCGAAAAGGTATTTTACTGCAAAGCTCACTGCGAAGTGAGTGATATTTTTATCTTAATTTAGACGATTATAGTTTACCACAACTGAGTTTCTCAGATTGAAGTATTTAAAAAGAGCCAATAAAACCATTTTTGTGAGATTGTTGGTGGTACATCTCACCAACAGACTAGTTTTTCTTCTTGGGCTTTTAATTTACTGCAAAACACAATAATCCAAACTATTGAACAAACACCTGGAATATATTGCGCTGTCTGTAATTAATCTTTCTTATTTGTAAGTTTCACTTTTTGAACTTAATCACTAAAATAAATTAGTTTTCTGTGATATTCTGATTATTGAGAAGCTCTTATAAGCCAGCATGTGTTAACTCAATCTTTTATGAACGCCATTCATGTATTATTGGGATGAGTAGTGTTAACCTGTCTCATCCACTAGGTGGTGCTGTTTCCTCACGCAGACAAAATGCAAAACTTGAGATTTCCTTTTATTTTTTAAATTGAACTGCTTCTAGGCTGTGTAATGTGTAATTTATTGTAATTTTTAAAATGTTTAATAGAGTACTTTATAATATTTACTTTAATTGTGCAATACCAGCCTTAGTGTATTTTGTGTCATTTTTAATAATAATTGTTATAATCTGTTTGATTTGATAAAGAATGTCTCTCACATATATCGATTTATTCCTGTGTGCAATTGTGTTGTACAATAAAAACAATGGAGCTCATGACTCAAATCACACTTTCTTGCTTTACTGGTAATTTTCACTTGGTTGTTGTGAACATTTCTTTGCAAAAAAAATCAACTTAGTTGAACACAAAATCCATTATAGCAGCTTATATAATGCATATGTATTAAGAGCTTTGTTTGCGCTGCCAACATATTATTAGCACAGGTGAAGCTGTGAAAAAATTCCTCAGAAATCACTCCTATAATGTAATTAGGGATAGATAGGAAAAGAAGAAAGGAGTCACAACTTTTTGACTTGAATATGTTCAAGTTTTCTTCTAGAAAACCTCTAAATTTGTGTCCTTTCTCACAAACGTTCTACTACTTGGGCTCATAAATTTGAGTGTTTTTGTCTAGAAAATCTCTGAGGTTACTCTGAAAATTTTATTTTTTTCTTGCAAATGTGATTTTTTTTCTCTTTTCTTTTTTAGGAAAGATTAATCTCAAAATTTCTGAGTTTATTGGCTTAAATGTACTGCATTTTTTCTAGCAAAATCCTCACGAATGTATTACATGAATTAGCAACATCTTTCAGTGGAAGACTGACTGCTACTGGCAGAGTTGGATGTTAAATAGTTACTCAATTACATTTACTTGAGTATGTTTTTTTTTTGTTTTTTTTTTTAAAAAAATTTACTTGAAAAAAACGTATTTGGAAAAAAATTATTTTGTCTGATTTTGTTATTTTTTGTTACTTATATAAATTATTGTCATTTTGTTCTTAAAATGCCAAAATTTACGTTAATTTAACTTTACGTTTCGGTCTGTCTGGTTATGTAATTTTTAAATATTAAATGATTGACAATTTGATCAGTTACTCAGGACTGGCATTTAATGTCACTTTGGGGTAAGGAAGTATTTTCTAATTTAAACATGTTGCATCAAAATGACGTGAAATACAAGAAATTGCTGGTGGGATATTGCAGCTGTAGGAAAATCTTCAAATTCAACAAGAAATTCAGCTTCAGTGAGAAAAGCTTCAAGACATTCAGGAGTTTGGGGGACTCTGATGGACACATCTCCAGTTATTCCAGAGTGGGATCATGTAAGCTTGGTGTAATGTTGCTGTATACAGTATTTAGTGAGGGCAGACAGTAAAGGAGTTCCTTAATAATAAACCTAAGTGTGTAATTAATTTTCATGGGCTCTTCTGGAAACAGCTGAATATATCGTTAGTGTGCACGTTGTGTAGGTCACCTATCTGCGCTCTGTTTTGAGTGGTAACTCTCCACTCGTTTCCCACATCCTGATATGCTTGGAGTGTAAACACTTTCAGGTGTTTTATCTAGACTCGGATCCTGACAACGACAGGTTGCTGCTTAGGTTTGTACTCTAAACACAGCAGCGATGTGGGTGATGGAAAATACCAGGCAGCCAAAATGAGTCCTCTCATTTAAGGCAGAAATCAGCTGCACTCTGTTTCACAGTCAACTCTTTTTAGGTCATTTTTTATTTTTATTTTATTCATTTTTGTCAACTTAGCTGCACATTTCCTCATATTATTGATGACTGTCCTGACTGTACTATAGTACACATAAGATGCTGTCATCTGGATGTTCTGTATTCTTTATCTGAGATTATTTTAATCTTTTGTAACTCTTAATCTTTGCAAATGACCAAATAAATGCTAAAATTAAGTCAAACAAGTTTTGACAAGTTATTATAACCAGGTTACTGAATCTTTTCGAAATTTCTAGTTTTTCAGCTGTAATTGTTACTCTAAATCATGTGTGTCAAACTCAAGGTCCAGGGGCCAAATATGGCCGCCTCAGCTCTTCATGTGGTCCTCTAGTGTCCAGATTAATGCATGAATAGAAATGTCAAGACAACAGTTATGTGCTTGTATATTATCTCATCAATTAAATCAAAGTAATTTTATATCTATACGCCCAAATTACATAAATCAGTTCCTTACAGTTTTTCATGACTCCATGTTTGTGGAAATTCACACAAAATCAACAGATTCACTCCATTTAGTTTTTTTCCACGTGAATGTATAAGTGTAGTGCAAATTTTTGGGAAAAATTTAGTTTGATTTTATTGAACATAGTGTAATAAAGGAAGAAACAAAAGTTTAAATAAATTTAAAACAAAAGCAAACAAGAAGAAATTTGTCAAAAACATTTGGTTTAAAGGATTATAACTCCCACCTGAAGGTGGCAGTATTTCTTCTACTGCACTGCTGTCTCAGTCTTACTTCACATCAAGGTAGTTGATGAATTTAAAGTCACTATGAGCGCAATGTCATGAAATTCCTTGCAAATATTTCTAAATTAGCAAAAAAAAAAAAAAAAAATTGGTAAATTCTAGAGGTACTGATCAATTTGAAAAGATTTTCAATATTATTTAAATATTTAATTTTAAGAAGTGCTATAACTTACTTTTACAGCAATTTATTAATATTTTAACAGTTTATTTATGGGTTTTTATCAGTATATTCTGGCACAACTGTGCACATTTATGATCTTGATATGGCGTCGCTGCTCTAAAGGATCCATTTTTCAGGGATCTGTGCGCTTTCTGAGACTCACTGTGAAACTAAAGAAGTGTCTTTTCATAACTGTGCGCAGAAAATGAGCCGGGCTACTGAATCACTGTAAGCTGATCGGTGCAGAGTGAAAAGGACATCAGTGCGCAGCTGACCTCCCAACAGTCAGCAGAGTGAAGGACGAACTGATGACGGCTCCAAGGTGACATAATCTGCTCCGTATTCCTTCCTCTGGACCCGATCCTGATCTTTTGTTTATTTTTTTGTTTCTTGTGTCTGAAATTGTTGCATGAAAAGGACAATTTGCCTAAGAATAAGAAGCATCAGGCCTGTGGGTTGAGTGGACGTGTGTGACCCGGAGCGGACTCTTTCACGGGGAAAAAGTCATTATTCTTTTCACTTGACGTCACATTGGAGTCGCGTGCGTGTGCTTTGCGCGCGTGGGGCTTTATCCTTTGGGTCCCCAAGGTGAGAATCCAAGGTGCTCCAAGCTAGACGCATCACATTAAGCGGTCCCGGAAGTACAGCGCTCTCTTTCAAAATAAAACTAACCATACCGTCAATTAACTACAAGAACAAACCAACAAAAAAGTTAAAGGTTTATAAACTCATGTTTTCTAGATGTATTAAATGTTAGCTCTGTTTCTAATCACTTCTAGATTTAACTTTGGATAAGTTGTGTCGTCATCTGCCAGGCGCGTTTAGGAAGCTGCTGTTGCGTAAAAGTAACTTTACGGATTCAGAGAGGAAATAAAGAGGGGCTGGACTCTGTCCAGCGATTTCTTCCTACAAAAACCTCGACAGCTGACAGAGAGCAGAACCGTTTAGGACAGGAGAGCCGCTTCTACGCTGAATACAAGAAAACTAAAAAAGGTAACAGCTTTCACATTTTATCAACAACTTTATTGTCTCTTTCTTAATCCCGCTGTTTCACAGAGATCTGCTGTGTGAGATCATCACCTGACCCTCAGCAGATCTCTTTACATTTATGTCACAGTTTGGTAAAAAAGCAGAAGTAAAAGGAGTTAAAGGTTTAAATCCATCCAGAAACCCAAACATGTACAGAACTGAACCACTGGGAGCCAAGTTATTTTATTCAGCTTTAATGCCGAACTCTGGGGAAAAGAAGGTTTATGCATTCGTCATAGAATAAATGCGTTAAATTATATATATATATATATATATATATATATATATATATATATATATATATATATATATATATAAACGTTTCGAGTTTTAGTTATACCCACTTGTGAAGACAGATCGGTTAGGAGGAACAGAGAAAAACGAGAGTAGACTTAAAACTGAACGAGAACCCTCAGGAAATAAAGAGTTCACGAACTACCACACTGACAGATTGGTTTTGTTTGTTTTGTATCATAAAACTGGAAAAGAAATCGTACAAGTTTGCAATTTTCTTTTGATGGGTTGCATATCAAAACAAATGGCTTCATTTCAGAGAGTTAAAAATCCCTTCTTTGTGATAAGATTATCTGAAATCCTGTAGAAATCCAGAAATCTCAATCTGTTAAAACGATGTGGCACAAAATAGTTGCAAAAAAAATGTTCATCTTCAAATTAGCATGATGTTGCAAAATGCATGTTTGGCTAATAGATTAATTTTACATAAAGTGAAAATTGTTAAGCTTAAAGTTGGAATAATGACCTGAAAGTTTCCATAAAGTCAGATTTTCTAGTAAGAGATTTTTCACCAGCAGTAGTAACACAAAAAAAAAATTATTTACCAATTTATTTATGCAACATGCACTTTCTGAAATTTAAAAGAAAAATGTTTTAAAATAAATAAAATGATTTCAAAATAAAATCAGGCTGAAGAAGCACACATATAAGCTGCTTTAACATTGCAAGGTATATATTCTGCTTACTAGTAATCATCTGACCTCCAGATGTTTCAGCAGAAACAAATCATCAGAATAATGAAGCTCATGTCCAAACAAAAACTTTCACTTTAACACAAACTCTGAATGCATGTCTGGTGTATTTCTTTTTTTAAATTAAAACATTTTTGTTTTTCTTTCAGTGAAGAAAGCAGAGGAGGTAGAGTAGCGATACTTCAAAACAATTTAATCAAATGAAGTTAATAAGGACGGTGCAATAAAACTACTCCTTAAAGTACATTTACTTAAAAAAGTTACTCAAGTAACTGTAACGAGTTGCTACCCAATTCTCCCAATATTGCTGCAAGATTTAAAAACTTCTCAATAACTGCAGTAAAAATGGTTTTATTAAGCTTTGATGATGAATTATAACATTAAATTGTTCACACATAGTAGTGAAGCGCCTTGTGGTACATGTTACTGTAATAAACAACAGAAATATTATTAATGTGGCTTGAATTGCCCCTTAGGGGTCACTGGGTGCATCAGTTGATATAAAAACATTTTCTGAAAGTAAACCCAGTTACCACAAAGTTGAAAACTGTGCCATTAGGATTATTTACTTTTTTACACTTTTAACAGTATTGGTTTTGTGTTCGAGGCTTATTCTGG